ATGTTAGCGTTAAATATCGCCGCAATTACCAGGCTTTTACTGTAGTAAAACGAAAAGGAAGTGATTCAGTTCAGTGACCTGCTTCTCTCTGTGTGCCTGGTTACAGTCAGTGGCTGTGAAAATCAAATGTGATTTGAAATTAAATTATCGTTGTGGGTTAATGCAGCTGACAGCAGGGACAGTTTAGAAAACTCTCCCAGTTGGTGCCTTCAAGGGCCCTCAGACATCTGAGAACTGAGAGTAGACATATTTAAATGCAGAAAAAAAACCCAACCACATGATCCTGTTGTTGTTAATATTTTATTTTTTTAACATATTTAATATAATTTTTTTTGTTATTTTTATATTGATTGAAAGAAAAAATAAATTAAAAATCTGGATGGTATTACACTTCATACAAAACATATTTGCTTTTGTAAATTGGTTGTATATGAACATTGGGCTGCAACTAATAATTATATTCACAATCTAATAATCTGCTCATTATTTTCTTTATTAACTGACGAATCATTTTGTCTGTAAATGTTACAAAGTCGTGGAAAACTGCTGTTTACAATTGTTCAGAGAACAAGATTTTGCCTTCAGTTTTCAGTTGTTGTCCAACCAACAGTCAATAACCCAGAGGTATTTAAGTTACTGTCATATATCACGCATTATATTTCTCATGCACTTGCTATTTTTATTGATATTGAATAATTATTGTAGTTTATAGTTATAGTTAATTATAGTTATTAGAGTTAGAGCTGGACTACAAGGTAGAAAATTAAATTAAATGTTTTGGGAAATAGTCAGCTCCACACACACCCCTCCTTTTTGTCCATTTTTGGATTAGCCGAGAGTTAGGGGCGGAGTCAGAAACTGCCAAGATTGCAACGTCGGATCAGCTCACTCTGAGCTTCAACACCGCTCTTCAGAAACCTGTGGGTGATTTGTCCAAACCACTTTTGTTCAGTCACAAGCTTGGAGTCTGGTATGATGGATTCTCACTTGTGAGAAATGAAGCTTCCTTGTAAGGAGAGACTGAAACATGCCAAAATAAAAACCAGTGGTCTAGTCCTTTAAACGTGAGTGGTTCCTGCTGTTCCTGCTTCAGTGCAGCTCTGCAGACAAAATCCTCTTCAAACATCTGAGACACCCTCCAACTGTCTCTGAACTCAGACTGCAGCCCATCTGCTCTTCCTCCTGTCACTTTGTACTGATCCTCTATTGGAAATCAATAACTGATCAATGCTTCTTTTCTTTTTCTTTTTTCTTTTTTTTTAACCACCTGATCATAAAGCCGCCAGGTGGTTCCAGATGTGTGAGTGGTACAGTGTGGATGTACAGGAAGACAGCGAGGGCTGAGCGAGGTTGAAAGAAAGACAGACAGAAAGAGAGAGAGAGAGAGTCAGCAGGTAGGTCGGTAGTTTTAAACGGGAACTGCGAAAATTGTTCAACAGCGTTGCCATAGCAACAGTGAGGATGTAGATCAAGGGGCTTTTTTTAACACACACACACACACACACACACACATACACACACACACACATACACACACACACACACACACAGAGTGACACAGTGAGGTTAGCACAGGATTCCCTGCTATTCCAGTTTCTATGACAACTCACAACTCATCCTCCTCTCGCTGTCTGTCTCTCTTTTATCTTCAGCTGTAATGGAAGCAGCCATTAAGTCCTGACTTCAGCTCTGCTCTGCTTTATTGGCATGAATGGTAATCAACTGCTAATTAGCACCAATGATGATTAACACAAACGATAATTAAACACATAATAAGGTCTTGTATTGAACGGAGAGTAACATCAGCAGTAGTATAGATGGTATCAGTGATGAAGGGACCGCATGAAAATTACATCTGACTTTTTCAAATAACACAATACAGTTTATAATAATGTGTCAGTGAAGGCAACACTTGTATCTCAGAATAATATGCTACAGCACTAACATTACTTTCAGTGACTTTCAGCCCTCCAAACTGAATCTGGCAGCAAATAGAGCCGGAACGATTAGTCGATTAATCAATTAATCAATTCTTAGATCGACAGAAAAATAATTTTGATAATTATTTAAAAAAAACAAGTATTTTGATAATTGATTAATAATTTAAGTCATTTTCAAGCAAAAACAGTGAAAAAAAGACAAATATTTGCAGATTTGAAAATCTCAAGAAGGAAATTTTCTGCTTCTCTTTGTCAAATATCTTTATTTACGTTTTTATTTATCATTATAAACTGAATATCTGGGGTTTTTTGGACTTTGGGTCAAACAAAACAACACATTTAATCTTTCATAGACTAAAAAAATTTACCAATTCAGCAGATTAATCAACATTGAAAATTGCTGCAGCAGCTGGAATAAAAGAAAAGAAAAGAAAAGAAAAAGTTTCCTGACCAGCCAGATAGCAAAATTATTCTGGTGAATACTTGGGCCTATATACACCATGACTGTCTGGGCCACTTTTAGTGCACACACAGATAAGCCGTCCTTCTGTCAGCCGACACTGCCGGATAACAGCCAGAATCGGCCCAGATGCGGCTCTGTAAGGCTGTACCTAGGAGCAGTAGTGCTTTGTGCTAAATGCTAACACTAGCAGATCTGCATCAGTTTTCACATCTCACACTCAGCAAGAGAAACAATAACTATAATTCCCAAAATGCCAAATGCATTTGTTAACAATTTTCATGTAGCAACTAAATCATTTTAAGGGAAATAAGGAATGGTTATTAAAATTAGCATTGTGGCTAATTCAGTAAAATCCTGTCATGTTACCAAATAGTCCAGCAATTTATATTTTTGAAGCAAAACTTAAAAATGATCAATTACTACCAAACATTACTGATGAAACAGTTTCCTCTTGAAACTGAGTTTTTAAATATTAAATATAATATATGATATAATAGTGAAACCCTCAAGTTTTTTTCAGACAGGCCTTGATTCAAAAGTGGTGATTCAACTGTTTTCTGAAACAGTGTGATATTTCCCTGTGTGAGTGTGTGTGTGGACATGTAGCTGAGGGTGAAAAACAGGAAGTGATGTAACATCCCGAGGCCATTATTAGCGCTGCAGAAGGTGGAGGTCAGACCGGAGTCAGCCGACAATCTGAATAAGATGTCGTCCCACCGTCGGAGAGGGATCCAGCAGAGAAGATGTCTGGACTTAATTACATTAACATGTCTGTGTAACGTTCTGGTCTGCAGCCTTTATTACTGTTATCACTTAGACCTGGATTTTAAAATGCAGAAATGTCTGCGGCTGTGAGAAGTGTCTGTGGGAGGCTGTGAGATTCACGCTAATGTCTCATACAGCTGTTAATGTTATTGTAATAAACAGACACATTTTCTGAGACGTGTTTCAGCCAAAAAAAATAAAGTCAAATTATAAGATGGAGAAAAGCTGCAGTTAAAAGTTTAGTTTTTAACCATTTCCATGCTCCTCTAAACTCCAGACCTTTATAAATAAGTAAAGATGTATTTATATAGCACCTTACACAGATAAAAAATCACAAAGTGCTTTACATTATAGAAAATATAAAAGTTCAGGAGATAGGACAATAAATACAAATACTGTGCATTGACAATATAACACTATATCTGTTGGATGTGGCTTTAATTACACTGAACGATCCTGTCTGTTTGATACGAAGCGTCATCATTTTGGCGCTAACGTATTAGTAAGTGTCGGAGATCAGAAAAAAAGTTTCCCAGTTTTAATTGAGACTTAATTTAAACTCATGGTTTCAGTTGAATATGTCATGAGCGCGACCTGGTGCTAAACATGGTGTACAGCTGAGGATGATGGGAATGTCGTGACCCGGTGGTGGCGCCAAAGGAAAAGAAAATTCAGTTTACAGTGATTTATCTATCGTCTAATCTTCTCATTTCAGTGGCTGAAATCTGCAGATATTTATATTGTTTCACTATTTTAATAATGATAATAATAATAGTGATAAAAAGAATTACAAGATATTATCAGGAGGAAACCATTTTGACTGGACCTCATACACTAAGTCACAGTAACTCTCCTCCTTAGCAACAGTCCTTAGTAACTCGTTAGCTGACGAGGTCTGATCTGAAGATGATCTTGTAAGAAAAGACACGGTGTGATTTCTGCCCTTGATTAACATATTCTGTGATGCGTTGATCAGTGCGTCGTCCTGACATTTTCCGTTTACAGCGCTAGAAGTTTCCATCTGCATCTGATTAACAAGGTAATTACAACGAGAAAACAAGCTTTGTTATCTCGAGATAACGGGATAATTATCTCGTTATGTCGGAGCCTCTCTCCTGATAATATCTTGTTATCTTGAGATAAAGGGATAAAAAAGTATTTGCGAGTTTGGCATTTCTCTGCTTCCGTATGAAACAACATCATTGTAACTCACAAACAGTAAATACAATAATAAATTAGCACAACGGTCACAGACGACAATAACGAGTTCAACAAAATTGTTTGTACTTAAAATTTCTGATACAATGAATTAATCATCAAAACAGTTGCAGATAATTTTTCTGTCGTTCGACTAATCGATTAATCAATAACCCAGAGCCCAGAGTGAAACCTTTATAACGCTTGTCTGGTCCAACTACTAATCCAAACAAGTATTGACATGTTTTGTCATTTTAACATGAACTAAATTAGATGCAGATTGATTTTTTTGTCAATCGACTAATAGATTAATCAACTAATTATTAAAGCTGTAGTTTGATTTATAGTAAAGCATCATATTTTACAGGCTCTTTGTATATTTTGGATTCAAAAATCTTAATTTGTAAAGTAACTGAAGCAGTTGGATCCATTTAAATTCAGTAAAAAGAAGAATTCTCCGCTCTGACATGTTCAGTACTGACGGAGAGATGAGGGAAAGATAATTAAAACAGCTTTAATTACTTTGAAAACAGTTTCCACCTGATGATGAGTCAGTGTTTGTCCTCAGACCATGATCATAATGTGTGTGTGTGTGTGTGTGTGTGTGTGTGTGTGTGTGTGTGTGTGTGTTGCAGCCACATGCCTCTGAGTCCGGCTGCTGACACCAAACATGATCGCCCGCGACAACAGGCGGTTACTAACGGCAACCCGACAGGCTCTGCTGTTGCCAGGGACGACGACGCGGATGACACGCCCCCTGGAAACAGCATTGTCGTCCGCATTGGCATCCCGGACCTGCAGCAGACGGTAACACACATGCACACACACACACACACACACACACAGTGTATATGTATATATGTAAAAACCTGGAGTACACAGGATGAAATGAATGAATCAGCAGCACAAACCTGTCTGTCTGTCTGTCTGTCTGTCTGCCTGTGTGTCTCTTTCTCTGTCTGTCTGTCTCTCTGTCTCTGGCTCCCTCAGAAGTGTTTGCGGTTGGACCCAGAGTTACCAGTTTGGACCAGTAAGCAGAGGGTTCTGGTGACGTTGACTCAGTCTCTGTCGGATGTTTTGAACTATGGTCTCTTCCAGCCGGCGTTCAACGGCCGAGCCGGAAAGTTTCTGGACGAGGAGCGCCTGCTGAAGGAGTATCCTCTGCCCCCCATCACACCCATCCCCTACCTGGAGGTGAGTGGACGATTCAACAAATCACGAGTCGCCGGCGACGGTCAGAGCGGGAGCCATATTGTTTTCAGGTTGTCTGTCCGTCTCATTCTCGTGGACATGATATCTCAGTAACACCTTGGTGGAACTTCTTCAAATCTGGCGCAAACATTCAGTAGGACTCAAGGATGAACTGGTTAGATTTTGGTGGTCAAAGGTCAAGGGTGTGGTGACCTTTGGTCTTGTGAACACGATATCTCCATACCGCCTTGAGGGAATTTCTTCAAATTTGGTAAAAAATGTTCACCTGAGCTCAAGGACAAACTGATTAGAATTTGTTTTGCACAAACATTCACTTGGACTCAAGGATGGACTTATTAGATTTTGGTGGTCAAAGGTCAAGGTCAAGTTTAGTCAAGGCGTTACTGAGACATCGTGTCCACGAGAATGTGGCGGACGTACAGGCGAAAACAAAATGGCTCTCGCTCTGACTGTCTGCTATTATAACTGTCATTAACTAGTCTTCACTCCCATAAACTACCACTAACCATAACTAGTGAACTGTACGACCTCCAGTAACCTTTCATCCTTGATTTTATCCTCACAGTTTCGTTATAAGAGGAGAGTTTACACACAGAGCTACGTGGACGATAAACAGCTGGCCAAGTTACACACCAAGGTACACACACACACACACACACACACACACACACACACACACACACACACACACACACACACACCGAAGTGGCTTTTGATGAATTACTTTATGTGCAGCAATAAAGAAAAGTTTTGTTTTGCATGAAACCTCGTTATCTTTCCTTCAGTGGTTTAAAAACAGAATTATAACAGTGTATAAACTCTCTGCTGAACAATGACACGTGTTTAATAAGAAACCTGCTGCAGTGACGTCTCCACCGAGGAGACTCGTCTGGGGAGATTACTACCGTTTTCTTCAGGTGTGACGTTGTCGTTTTTCAGGCCAACCTGAAGCGGTTCATGGAGCACGTTCATCAGAAGAACGTGGAGAAAGTTTCCAAATGGCTGGAGAAAGGCCTGGACCCCAACTTCCACGACTCTGACAGTGGGGGTGCGTACAAAACACACACAGCTGAAACACACACACAGCTCTCTCATTATGTTATGTTTGTTTCATTAAACACAAACACTAACAAGTCTGACGTTTGTTTGGTGTCATATCCTGCTACATGTTTGACATGTGTTTAGCCTAGCATAGCACAAGAGGAAACTGCTAGCATAGCTCCATCAAAAGGAAACATACTTTCTGATTATAAAGAGTTTATAAGCTGTAATTAATGACTTTATTAATGTTTAATAAATCATTTGATGATGCTTATAAGCCCTTTATAAGAACAGCTTTTGTGTTGCCAGGTTGTGGGAAATCCTCCTTCAGCCAATACTTCTTACCTCTTGAATTCATAAGGGAGATTTCAGATTTTTAATTATATGCTTAAAGGAGCTATATGTAAGTTTTTGCTAAGGCTACATAGCTAACGTTAGTATTAACAGCTGTTTAATACAGGTTAGAAGAAATTTTGTGAGTTCAGCATCAAACTCACCAACAGCTGTCCCCAGAGGTGGAAAGCAGCGGTGATATTAACTTGTTTTGCTTTTAGTTCAATCACCATTTTCTTCTACTGAATTTAGCATGCTAACCAGCTAACCCCAGCCTGGCTGCACTGTCTCGTCCAGTCTGAAGAAGTAGCTCCTCAGAGGACACATTATAACCTCTTGTCTTGTAAATACAGTGGCTGAATTGGCAGCACAGAAAACTTACATACAGCACCTTTAATTATATTTTCTGTGAGTTTAATCTTGTTGTATATGAAGATTTTATTCTCTCAGATACATGATCCTGATGGAAATGTAGTAAATCTCTGTCTTAAGAGTTTAAAGGTCCTATATTTTATATTTTTCAAATGTTTTATTTGAAGTGTTGATCCATCAGAAGATATAAAAACCACCTCAGTGTAGTTTTACATCTCCTCTCTCAGGCTTCTCTCTGGAGCTCTAGTAACAACAGGTCGGTGAGCCAATCAGAAGAGAGGAGGCTCTGAGCCTCTCTTCTGATTGGCTGACTGTTTTCTGAATGATCCAATGAAAATAAAGCAGATTTCAGGTAAAAACACTCAGAGAAACCAAATCCTGCAAGGTTTGGATGGTGGGTCCAGGTGGGCGGGGCTTGGTGACTGCTTTGTTGTGACATCACAAAGTTCCAGAAGTCCTGACGGCTGGTTTTAAGGCTCAGTTTCTGAATACAGGCTGTGTGCATTTCTCTGTGGACTGAGGCTTTGATACTTTCACAGTATTAATATAGAAGCTAGAGCTGATCTATAATCACACTACACATGGACACAGACCTTTACACTGGATGGAGCTTTAAATATGATGTAAAACAACAATACTGAGGACATGAACTCGTGTCCTCGAGGAGAAAGTGTGTTTATTTTGCTCTGATTGTGTAACAGTAATAACTGAAGTTTGTCTCTTTCTGACTCAGAGTGTCCTCTGACTCTGGCCGTGCAGTTGGAGGAGAGTTGCGAGCTGATTAAAGTCCTTCGCAGCGGTGGAGCTCACCTGGACTTCAGGACCAGAGATGGCATCACAGCCCTGCACCGAGCCGTCCTCTGCAGGAACAGCGCTGCTCTGACTGTGAGGAAACACCAGCCTCTTGCTGTGTTTGTCCCATTTTTTATTATCGGGGCCTGAGGGCAGGTTCAGATGGAGGCTGAGCAAAATCTCGAAAGGATGAGTCAAAATGCAAATAAAGCAAAGAGAAAAATTGTCTAAACACACCCTCAGGACCCTTATAGCCTCAGTGTTCAGGAACAGCTAAATCATCAGTGTGTTCTCTGGTCCGTCACTGTCACATTATAGGATGTAATGGAAGATGCAGCCTCTGAAGCCTGAACATGTCGAGTCTAGCTTTGCTCAGACGCTGGGGATCTCGTGGCAGCTCCTCTCAGCTGCACCGACACCTTCTCCAACACCCGGGGCCAGAATTACTGAGGCTTCGTACTCTGGTTTTTCAGACGCAGATGTGACTCATTCTGTCTCCGAATGTATTTATCAGTCGCAACTGTCAGCGAGTGTCTGCAAGGTGCATTTCTACATCTCTGCGGTTTAGGCAGGATCAGGATCAGGATCAGGATCAGGATCAGGACTGAGGTGGTGAGTTTTGTGGGGAAAACACAGTTTAACTTGTGAGTGCTGTCCTGGTCCTCAGACCCTGCTGGACCTGGGCGCGTCTCCGGACTACAAGGACAGCAGAGGTCTCACTCCTCTCTATCACTCTGCCATGGTGGGTGGTGCCCCCTACTGCTGTGAGCTGCTGCTGCAGGACCACGCCAGCATCGGTACGGAGGCTCCACAGTGTCAATCCAGTGTGTGTGTGTGTGTGTGTGTGTGTGTGTGTGTGATGGCATCGCTGCTGACCTTTAAACATCGCTGTTCAACTACTTTTAATAACCAATAATTTAGATTGTGTTTTTTTAGAAAGAAAAAAAAAACACTTCACTGTTGAAACACTGCTGAAAGACTTCTTGTTGTCATGGTTGCAGGGATGACTGATGAGAATGGGTGGCAGGAAATCCACCAGGTGACACACACACACACATACACACACACACACACACACACACACACACAATCAGTTAAATTACTTGTACTGATGAAAAGTTCAAACTCTGTACAATTATGATTGTGTGTGTGTGTGTGTGTGTGTGTGTGTGTGTGTGCGTGCGCGTGCGTGCGTGTGTGTGAGTTCAGGCATGTCGCTATGGTAACGTGCAGCACTTGGAGCACCTGCTGTTCTATGGCGCTGACATGAGTTCCCAGAATGCATCGGGAAACACCGCACTGCACCTCTGTGCACTCTACAACCAGGTAACACACACTAAATCTGAATAGTGAATAGTATATATTTTTACACCTCAGTCATGTTATTAACAAACTCTGTGTTTTTATGTCAATGTTTATTCTGTAGTAAATGAAATAATCGTTGATGGTTTTGCAGGACAGCTGTGCCAGAGTGCTGCTGTTCAGAGGAGCAAACAAGGACATCAAGAACTACAACAACCAGACTGCCTTTCAGGTAAAATGAAAATAAAACTACAACAACCAGACTGCCTTTCAGGTAAAATAGAAACTGAACTACATTTGGTAACCGTAGTTAGAAACATGAAGGTTTTTGTGTCTAGAAAACTTTTTTTTACTTATGCGTGATCTCATCAAATTGTAAAGTCTAATAGAAAGACAAACAACAAAATGTGAATTAATCCGCTGGTGAAAATAGTCCCCAACAAATTCTCAAAAGTTTTATCAAAAGTTTGTTTGATAAAAACTGAAAAAGTATTGAAAAAACCCAGAACTTTGCTGATCCAGCTGCTGTTGTTATGATAATACTTTTGTGTGTGTGTGTGTGTGTGTGTGTGTGTGTGTGTGTGTGTGTGTGTAGGTGGCGATCATTGCTGGGAACTTTGAACTTGCAGAAATCATTAAGATCCACAAAACCTCTGATGTTGGTGAGTTGGCTTAGAGTTTAAACATGTTTACATCATGTGTGTATTATTTGCACATATTACAGTAGCTGGTTACGTTAACTCTGTGTGTGTGTGTTTGTGTGTGTATATATGTGTATATGTGCCCAAGTAGTTCCCTTCAGAGAAACTCCCTCCTACACCAAACGACGCCGGGGTGGCGTGACCAGGCCGTCGGCTGGAAATGGTCTTTCATCTCCACGTTCTCTGATTCGCTCAGCCAGTGACAACGCTCTGGAAAGCCCCGCCTCCTCTCCTGGCCCCTCCCTCCAAAGCCTGGAGACACACCACGACACTCACACACACTCGCTACGACGACACACACGCCGACTCAGGTACACACATTTAAGACACTCGTGTGTACAGGTGTGGTTGACATTAGTACTGGTATAGTTGACAATAGTACTGGTGTAGTTGACATTAGTATGGGTGTAGTTGACATTAGTATGGGTGTAGTTGACATTAGTACTGGTGTAGTTGACATTAGTACGGGTGTAGTTGACGTTAGTATGGGTGTAGTTGACATTAGTACTGGTGTAGTTGACATTAGTATGAGTGTAGTTGACAGTAGTACTGGTGTAGTTGACATTAGTATGAGTGTAGTTGACGTTAGTATGGGTGTAGTTGACATTAGTATGAGTGTAGTTGACATTAGTATGAGTGTAGTTGACAGTAGTACTGGTGTAGTTGACATTAGTATGAGTGTAGTTGACATTAGTATGAGTGTAGTTGACATTAGTATGGGTGTAGTTGACATTAGTATGGGTGTAGTTGACATTAGTATGAGTGTAGTTGACGTTAGTATGGGTGTAGTTGACATTAGTATGAGTGTAGTTGACATTAGTATGAGTGTAGTTGACATTAGTATGGGTGTAGTTGACATTAGTATGGGTGTAGTTGACAGTAGTACTGGTGTAGTTGACAGTAGTACTGGTGTAGTTGACATTAGTACTGGTGTAGTTGACAGTAGTACAGGTGTAGTTGACATTAGTACTGGTGTAGTTGACAGTAGTACTGGTGTAGTTGACAGTAGTACTGGTGTAGTTGACATTAGTACTGGTGTAGTTGACAGTAGTACAGGTGTAGTTGACATTAGTACTGGTGTAGTTGACAGTAGTACTGGTGTAGTTGACATTAGTACTGGTGTAGTTGACAGTAGTACAGGTGTAGTTGACATTAGTATGAGTGTAGTTGACATTAGTACTGGTGTAGTTGACAGTAGTACAGGTGTAGTTGACATTAGTACTGGTGTAGTTGACAGTAGTACAGGTGTAGTTGACATTAGTACGGGTGTAGTTGACTGGTGTAGTTGACATTAGTACGGGTGTAGTTTGCTTCAGTAGCAGTTGACAACAGTATTATTGTAGCTACTAAAGCACACTTACAGCACTCGGTTATCACTGAGTAACCATGACGACTGTATCTTTGGATGCTGCTGGGCCTTTAAGCATCTGGTTTACAGTCTGACCTGCCTGTCCGCAGCCCGAGCGGTGGAGGTCATGTGGAGACCAGTCCCCCGTCCTCCCCTCCCCTGACCCCCCAGATGAGGAAGAGGAGGCTGTATAGTGCCGTACCCGGACGCACCTTCATCGCCACCCGATCCCACGTCCCCCAGGGGCCCGGCGAGATCCAACTGCACCGAGGCGAGAGAGTGAAAGGTCAGACAGAAAAGACGATGTTGCATTAGACGTGTGTCGTTCTGCATGTCGTGAAAATACCACCATGTTTTGAGTCCTGACAGTGACTAACAATGAGCGTGTGTGTTGTGGATCTTCAGTGCTGTCTATAGGTGAGGGAGGATTCTGGGAAGGAAGTGTTAAAGGAAGAACTGGTTGGTTTCCTGCTGAGTGTGTTGAAGAAGTCCAGATGAGACAATACGACCCCAGACTGGGTAAAAACTATAAATATAAATGTATTAAAAATTTAATATACACACCTACTGTATAGTGAACATTTAGATATTATGTAAGACGTGTTTAAACTTTAATTTTACGACATATATTTGTAAACTGTGGTTCATTTTAAATGCTCATTTATGTTTCAGAGACGAGGGAGGACCGCACTAAGAGACTGTTCAGACATTATACTGTAGGATCCTATGACAACTACACCTCCTACAGGTAAAACACCAGTACTACACCACCTGCACCAACACTACACCACTCACAGATACAGTGGTTTTAGGTGGATACAATTATTAACCATTACTTTACTATTTATTATGAAGTTAACTTTACATAGTCAGGTAAAAATATTACATCCAAACAATAGCATTATAATAAAATAATATAAAATAAGTAAATGTTTTATGCCAAATCATAAATAAATATCATTTATTATTTATCATCATTTATTAATAACTCCTGATAGTTATTTTAAAGTTTAACTAAATAAAATGATAATGTCTATTAATTATTTATATGTAATTTATCAAGTATGATTTATTTACTTTATTAATTCATCATTTTAATGAAATAGAATAATGAACTGCCGCATCCAATGAATAATGAATATGTTATTTTATTATTGCATTTTGAATGTGTACATCTACATTGCTTAGTGTAACATCAATTATAAAACTAAATCAGTTCAAATGAAGTAATGGAAAAGATCAGTGATGGCTATGAATAATAATAAGAAATTTTATTTACCTAACACTTTTCATAATGTGCTGTTTTCACAAAGTCCTTGAGAAATCAATACAAAAAAGTGGAATCAGTTTTATTTACATCCGCCAATTTTACAAATCACAACAGAGAGGGAAATAACAGTCAAGTTAAACTAATTAAAAACACACTGACAATATTAGGTGGATAAACATTTATTAAGAATATGGACACAGGAGTGGATACAAGCTGGAGGTCAAACTGTAAAACTGTGTAAAAATGTTTTAATGTTTAATTTTAGATTTTTTTAGGCAGATTATTTTACACATCATGGACCTGTGCATCTGCTGTAACCCTAACCCTAATGTTAACGTAATGCAGCTTTTAATCCAGTTTAACTGTCCCGATACTATTAATATTCATATTTAAATCAATATAACACATTTATTTACAATTTAATATATTGACGTATGTGATTTTAAATCTCCAATCTCTAAATTTAAGATGAGGTGAAAACGTTTGTGTCTCTTCTGTCAGTGACTACGTGATCGAGGAGAAGACGGCCGTGCTGCAGAAGAGAGAGAGCGAGGGATTCGGCTTCGTCCTCAGAGGAGCTAAAGGTAGAAACAGAGGGATGAGCGGATGGATGGACGGATGGAGGAGTGGTGGGTGTTTGGAGGTGTTGAAAAAAGAGGAAGATATTTAAAACAGAGTGAAGTCTTCAGAGGAAGAGCAGAGAGCTTTAAAACTCCTCGCTGTGTTGTTTCATAATAACGACACAGTCCGCTGAGTCTCTGGTATCCATGGAAACCATGAAGACCACATCCTTCGTCCTGACGTGATTATTACAGCGACAACGAGCAGTGATTTAAAAAACGGAAGCAGACTGAGAGTTAATTTATTCTATTATCTCTGCTGTAAATTCAGTTTTCTTTTTTTTCTTTTACTGATCTCCATGTTTCTCAACATAGAAGTCTAAATACTACGATTCCCATGAGCCTCAGCTGTAAACTTGACCAGCCCCGTAGCGTCAGAATCAAAATACCAAAATAAAACATTATTTCTGTCTCTGCCTGTTTCAAGCTGAGACGCCCATCGAGGAGTTTGCCCCCACCCCGGCCTTTCCCGCTCTTCAGTACCTGGAGTCAGTGGACCAGGGGGGTGTGGCTTGGAGGGCGGGGCTACGGACTGGAGACTTTCTCATAGAGGTAACACCTGTCCTCTCACCTGTGGCATCATAATTAAAGCATTTCAGTGTAATCAAAAACAGTGTGTGTGTGTGTGTGTGTGTGTGTGTGTGTGTGATCCAGGTGAACGGCAGCGACGTGGTGAAGGTGGGACACCGGCAGGTAGTCAGTCTGATCCGACAGGGAGGAAGTCGCCTGCTGATGAAAGTCGTGTCTGTTTCCAGAAAATCTGAGTCCAACCTGATCAGGAAGAAAGGTCCCGCCGTCATTATTCATTATTATTTATTCATTTATTTATTCATCAATATTCATTATTATTTATTTATTTATTCATTATTATTAATTATTATTTATTTAGTTAATTCACCTCGTGAAGCAACCAGCTTATTTTTAAGGAATAATTCTTGTGTCATTTCTTTTATTTGCTTATATTGAAACTTATTTTTGATTTAAACTGTAAAATTGAGGTTTATTAAACAAGTTTTACATATAAACTATGAACTGAAATTCAGTTGTAAGGAGCAACAGCCAATGGAAGAACTCCAACTCAGTCACATTACATTCAGCTGACCAATGGTGGAACTATGATCACTCAGTCAGTCAGCGACTTCGTGATTATTGAGCCAGCTCTGCTGTTGCGTTCCAGATTAAAATGACATCAATACAATATAATAATTATAGCTGAAATGATTAAGTCGCTCAACAAAAACAATAATCTGCGATCATTTTGATGATGACATGAATCATTTCAGTTTTGGAGCAAAAAAAGTGAAAAACAAAAAACATCCTCAGATTTAAACTTTAACTTTAAACAAAGAGACTTTGCTGTTTTTTTGTTTCATATCATAGAATTTCTTTTGGTCTTGGACTGAAAGATCTAATGTCCTGTCATTGTTGACTTTTTCACACCTTTGTCAAGCAGGTTTCATCCTTTATGTCGGCCACTGAAACAAGATTTTGGAGAGAATAAATGTAGGAGGGGCACCTCGGGGCGACGGCCTGGATTTGAGTCCGACCCGAGGCCATTTGCTGCATCTCATCTCCTCTCTCTCTCTCTCTTCCTGACTTTCCTGTCTCTCTCTTTCTGTGACTGTCAGAATAAAGGCAAAAAATCTCCAAAAAATAACTTTCAAAAAAAATTTTAATGTAGGAAACACTGCCCCAGCAATTAGTCATAAAACTAAAAATAGGCCTACGTCTCTCAACAAGAGAGGCGGTGATCGCTTAAAGAAGTCTCTCTGAAGCTGCTGGTTCTGGTTTATTATGACAGATTTGTCGACTCTACCACAGAGGATCTGAAATCACATCTGAATTTCGATATAATACTGTAATGATATTTAACTCAAAGGCCAAAAAGCCAAGTTATTGTCACTTATTTTTGCTTATTTTCGTTTTCAGCTCCACCCCCTCCGAAACGAGCCCCCAGCACCTCGCTCACACTTCGATCCAAGTCCATGACCGCTGACCTGGAGGAGATAGGTGAAACAAACACACACACACACACACACACACACACACGCACAGTGTTAAATCAAACTGTAGGAGTGCGTGTTGTTGACCTTTGCTCTGTCTGCAGCCAGGAGGAGACGTTTTGGTGAGTGAGTCACGTGAATCTGACGGTGCAGCTGTTGTTGTGTTTGTGGCTTTAGTATTAATGTGTGTGACGGTGTTGTAAAACTGGCATGATGTTGGACTGATGTTGGACTGATGTTGGAAAGATGGCATGGTGTTTCAGTCCGGGCTGTATCCGAACACGTCCTCAGTCTAAATATGTTTCAGGGAATTTGGAGGTTTAATGACTTAAAAACAAGTTTACAGTCTATTAGTGTTTTTCCATCGGATGGTAGGAACTCGACTCGACTTTTTTCACTGCAGAGAGAATCTCCTCAATGCAACGTCTGCGCCTCCTCAGTTGACCGTTGTTTTAAAAATGGTGGGTTTGTTCAGAATAGTGATGACACAATAGTGACGCTTCTTCTCTGACCAATCAGCAGTCATCAGCTCACCTGGAACCTCTGCGTAGGTGATGTTCTATTCACAACTTTTACCTGATTAAAAAGTCGAGTTGAGTCAGTACCATGCAGTGTATGGAGGGAAAAATGACATAAGTATGAATAAATAAATAAATAAATAAATACATGTAGAAATAAATAATTAATATATGCTAGCTATTTCTGAAATTTTACATTTATTCATTTATTTCTGTATTCTACATTCATACATGGGCTATACCATTAGGCTTACACAAATTGATAATTGTCACGACCAAGTCCAGACAATGGTCGTCAATTGAAGCTGTAACAGAGTCAGCTCCTCGTTACTTTTTTCTAAAGTCATGGCGAGATAAACAAGACCTCAATATTTCTAAGATCCTGCTACGACCCTGGTAACTGATAGTAACTGATGACTTTGTTGTGGTGTCATGTTGTTGTTGCTGTTGTTGTTGTTTTTGTGGTCATGCTGTGATGGGATGAGGCTGTGTTTGAGTATGTTTTGTTTTTGTTTACGTTGTTCTCTGTGTCTCTTCCCTCCAGAGAAACTGGACGAGATGTTGGCCAGCGGTCAGCAGGAAGTCGTTCTGAGGGGCCGTCCGTCAGACGACTTTAGAGCGGCGACGGTCAAACAGCGGCCAACGAGCCGACGAATCACGCAGGCCGAGATTAATGTAAGACGAGGTTCAATTTAGGGAAACATGGTCCTGATGTTGCGTTTATGTGAAATCATAAATACCGGCTTCCAGCTTGTAAACAGTTTTCTCATCAACCTCCCAAGTTGTAATTTCGACTGGGTGAGTCAGATTTTTCTCAAAGCTTAAACACAGACATGCCTGAACACCAAACAACCATGGACAAGTCTGTATTCAAGGTAATTAAACCCAAACTTGCTGACAATAGCATCTTTAGTTAATCTTCATTTTACCAACACTGTAATCATACAAACATGTTGAGTTCTCCCAGGATGTGAACGCCTGCAAGAGTGACTGTTAGAGCCTGACACCAGCAGCTCTGTTTGTCTCAATGAGCTCAGGTTACATGAGGACAGTGCTGAGTTTGGATCTTATGGCAAAAGTCCAATATCTTTGTTTTGTGTGTGTGTACAGTCGCTGTTTGAGCGGCAGGGTCTGGTGCCTCCCTCCGCCCCAGAGAAGAGCACCATGGCTTTACCCAGGGGAATGTCAAGAACAAAGAGTTTTGGTGAGACACGCACACACACACACACACACACACGCGCGCCCACACACACACACACACACACACACACACACACACACACACACACACACACGGTATTGCACAATCACTTACGGGAATAGTTTTACTGTTTGGGAAATAGGCTGGGAAGATTAAGACAGGAAGCAGATGGCCTCGCTCTGTTCACTGTTGGACATTTTGGAGTATGGGTGTGAGCATTCCTGTAATTGTGGGCAATTAACAAATTAATAATACCTGGAGAGAGCCTGTGAAGGACTTCAATCAATCATGAATCATTTGGATCAATGTGTTCGTTGGGTGTTTTTATTTATTTATAACATCTCCATGGTTACCACGACAGGCACACCTGAGGACGACAGGATCACCGCTCTGATCAATGAGAGTCGGTTTCCACGGAGCTCCTCGCTGACGGACAGCTTCATCCCTCCTCCTCCTCAGACAGCCCCGCCTCCTCCTCCCTCCGCCGCCTCCTCCACCTCCTCGCTCTTCCTCCTCGACTCCGGCCCGCCTCCCTCCTTCCTCCCCCCTCCACCCCCGGCCCGAGGGGAGGGGCTGACTCGCTCCAGCTTCAAGCCGGGAGCAGAGCCGCGGCTGCAGGAACTCTCCGATTCGCCGACGAGGAGCCACGCCCACGCCGAGCGGCAGAGGAAGGCGAGGTCGATGATCATCCTGCAGGACACGCCACCGCCGCTGCAGCCTGACGCGCATGCCGCCGCTGCAACGCACACGCTGCACACTGCCACACACACCGCCACACACACGCTTCACACTGCCACGCATACCTCCACACTGTCTCTCCACAGCACCAGCCCCGCCCTTGGCCACTCACCACTGTCACGCCGTCGGGGTCGACCAATAGAAAACCCTTATGCTAATGTGGGACAGCAGGCACCACCCACCAAACCACAGAGGAGGAAGTCACCTTTGTTGAAACAGCTTCCTGTAGAGGAGCAGGGTTAGGAACGGTCACACTTGTTGTCTTTCTGATGTGTCTTATTTCCTGGGTGCATCATGGGAAGTTTTGTAGCACCTGCAGTTCCAGGTTTTTAAAAATGCTGGGTGTATAACAATGAAAATGCTAGCATACTTGACCAATAGGGATGATCTTTTTAAGCCCCACCCCAAAAGTTCAGTCAGAAGGTACTACCCCCTGAGCAAGTACGTTTTTTGTGTCTTCCAGGAACTAGTCGCTTGTTCCTCTGGTTGAAACACACCTATTGTGTAGTTACATGGAAAACAGCGAACATGCAAAGAAATAGATTGTGCGATTGATTTTTGTTGGCTCAAATTAAATTACTCTTATTTTGTGGAAAAAAGGAGGTCCCTTTATTCACAGTGTCCTATTATGTGCTCAGGATTGAGAAACAAATAAAATGACATTGCTCCTTAATCATCAGTCTGACTGCTTGTATTGTTCTTCTTCTAGGACTTGGAATCAAAGATCATGATCCATCCAAATTAGACGGAGGCGGGCCTGGCAGCCCCAGCAGGGCGGAGTTGTACCAGCAGCAGGTTCTTTCAGAGCGCGCTCGGGTTCAGGGGCGCAGGTCGTCTCTCTTCCTGTCTGTTGAAGGGGCGGGATCAGAAAACCAGGTGCCGCCGCTCCTGACTCAGAGCCATTCAATGGATGACCTCGGCGAGCTTCCTCCTCCCGCCCCGGTCCTATCACCTTCACCGACACCTCACACCTTCCTCCACCCACTGACAGGGAAACCGCTGGGTAAGTCCGTCAGCATAACCTTATATTATCTCTTTTGCTGTAGAATTTTGTATGAGTTAATGACAATAGTGAAGTAACACTAATCACTAACGTTCCCTAAGGACATCTGGTTGCTGGTGTAATGCATTTTTTGTCCAAGTAGAAGCATTCTAGTTTGTAGATCCAGCACAGAACCTCGAGGTAGTCCACAAAATAAAAGGGGAACTAGGACAGTACTGTGAGGTACTCATCAAAATAGTAGTAGAGGACCTAGGATGGATCCTTGAGGTACTCCACAAAATACTAGCAGATGATCTGGAACAGAACCCAAAGGTATTCCACAAAATAGAAGAGGACCAAGGACAGATCCTTGAGGTACTCCACAGCTCAGAAGAGAGTAGATAATAGGTAATCAGTACCTTGAGTCATAGTAAACTGTCTTTTGTACACCTTTCTCCTTTTCTCTCTTCAGACCCCTCCTCTCCACTCGCTCTGGCACTTGCTGCACGAGAACGAGCACTTACCGCCCGAACACCAAGCCCCGAGCCTCGGACTAAACATGCATCAGCCTCCACTACGCCCATACCCACCCCAGCCGCCAGCCCCGAGGGCAGACACAAGCGCACCCCTATGGCCACCCCGCAGAGCAGCCCTGAGCCCCGATCCAAGCGCACCACCCCACAGACGAGCCCAGAGCAGCGAACCAAGCGCACTACTCCTCAAACCAGCCCTGAGCTGAGGCATAAACGCATAACCCCACCCCTGTTCCCTGATGGACAGGTGGAGCGTCCAGAAACAGAGGGAGGAGTGACGTCACCTGCCGGCCCCTCACCTGAACGTTGGAGACCTTCCCCTTTGCCACCGCTGGCCAGTGAGAGTCACTCTGCTCTGATTGACAGGCGCAGAAGTCTCACAGTGGGCAGCTCAGAGGAGGAGGGCGGGGCTTACACAGTGACACTCCCACCAGCATTGTTGTCATCCAGTGATGAGGAAACTAGGGAGGAACTGCGGAGGATCGGTCTGGTGACTCCTCCCCCTGCCTTTGCCACTGCTCCTGCTCCTCCTCCCCCATCCTCCCTCACCCTATTGCCACGACGAGGTGGGGAGGGAGGGGGAGTAGAGAGTGGTCCTGACTCCCTGGGTAGACGAGGAGAGGAGGATGAAGGAGGTGATGAACGGCTCCATGACAGCTCCTCCTCCCCCAGCTCACTCCCTCCCTCCATCACTTTGGCCTCTCCTCCTGCTCCATCCTCCCCCTCCTCCCCACCTGCTGCTCACCCATCTCCTTCATCCGCCGCCACTTCCCCATCAGGCCTAAAGCCTCGCCTTCGTTCGCCAATTGGCAGGGGCCGCTCGGCGCTTCGAGACCCGCTGCTGAAGCAATCTTCAGACAGTGAGCTCCTCCCCTCTGCTGCATCCTCCTCCTCGCCCTCCTCGCCACTGTGTTCATCCCCCACAGGTGGCGGTGGCCGGCAGCCACGCTACCTATTTCAGAGGAGGTCCAAGCTGTGGGGGGGTGGGGACGACCGTGGGGACGAACGCCGGGGCCTGAGCCCGGAGGAAGGAGGAGGCCGTCCGGCAGCGTTGGGAGGTCAGGGGTCAGGGTCAGCTATGGATCTGAGCAGCCGGTCGGCTTCAGCCCTGGAGCTGAGCGGCAGGGCAGGGTCTGGACTGGATCTGGCTAATCGGCTACAGCTGCTCAACAAAGACAGTCACTCTCTGGGGGAGGAGCCGAGCCCCCTCGACCCGGGCCGGAGGTCACCAGTAGGAGGTGCCAGGTAAGTTGAACTGCCTCACATTGTAAATACTGCAGTACCGCTCACCTGATAGTACTACTGTGTGTGCAAGTGTGTGTGTATGTATGTATGTGTTTGTGTATGTGTGTGTGTGTGTGTGTGTGTGTGTGTGTGTGTGTGTTGTAACTTAAATCTATTTGTGTTGTTCCAGATGTGTGGACAGTGGAGAGAGTAAATCGTAGGTTTTTATCTCTGGTAAACATTTCTTGTTATCGCTAAGAGATGATTTTCATTAGCTAACAACTAACTAACATTCATCTCCTTTGCAGACGACTAACTACTAAAAATCTAAAATTACTCTCCCAACTGACTTTGGGATAAACCCTCAGAATTGACTGTTCGCTAAACACCTCCGCTGAAAAATAATATCTTAGCACAAACGTAACAAGTCATGGCAGACCTGTCAAGCTTTGTGTTTAACAGTGTGTTTGAATGGTAGCATTGGTCTTTCATAAGAACTCATATGCTTTCAAAAACCAAAAACACAGGAACAAAAGCAGGATAAAAAAGGAATAGATTAAACAGTGTGTTCATCCACTCAAATAAGCTTCAAACATTAGCATGTACGATTTACTAGCTCGCTAGTAAATTCTAGCATCTACGGTAATACCTTAATGTTACTTTGAAGGCAAGAGTTAGCATATATAGCATACATATCAACATCTTCGTTGCTTGTCCAAGTGTGTTCTATAGCAAGTTAATCATGCAGAACAGTTGAACGGTGTGTAGCTGTGTGAGATTTATATGGTTTTTGCCTGTGTTATATTAGCATATTAGCATAGCATATTAGCCTCAGTCATTTAGTATACTATTGTGTTTGTAACCATATTTAAGGCGTTTCTCACAAATTTCTCATTTTAAAATGAGTCAGCTGGAGACAGTGTTTCAACCCTTATATTTAACACTAGCATTAATTAGCTAGCTGATAAAAATATGTTAATGACAGTTGTAAGTTAGGCAGGCAAAGTTGACATCATCTAGAAATGAGAGGATGCTACACTAATTAAGGGGCTTAGGAAAGGATCAGTTACTAACTCCATGTAAACTCAGCTGATAACTGAGGTATTAATGATCTTTGTGTCATAAGTATCCTGTTTATTGTGTTGCAGGTTGTTCTCCAGCCTCGGTGAACTTCACACCATCTCCCAGCGAGGATACGGCGCCAGCTATACAGTCCGACCAGGAAGTCGCTACCCAGTTACCCGTCGGAGCCCCTCCCCCTCTCCCTCCCCCTCTGATAGGTCAATAGGGCTCACCTCCTCCCCCGCGCCCTGCTCTGAAAGGCCAGATCTGAGCTCGGGTCGCGGTCTGACCATCCTGAAGTCGTCCAGTCTCAGTCTCCCCTCCGAACCAAAGGAGGTTCGGTTTGTGATGCGAAGCGCAAGCGCACGAACCAGGTCCCGTTCCCCTTCACCTTCACCTCACGCTTCACCTTGTCCCTCCCCAGTCCTCAGTGGCCCCCTGTTGGCCCTTCGGCCATGGAGGCAGCGGCCCCTCAACCTGTGGAATAAATATGACGTGGGTGACTGGCTGGAGAGCGTGGGCCTGGCCGAACACCGCCAGCGCTTCCAGGAGCACGAGATCGAAGGCTCCCATCTCCCCGCCCTCACCAAGGAGGACTATGTGGAGCTGGGTGTCACCAGACTGGGACACCGTATCAACATCGAGAGGGCACTCAGACAGCTGCTGGATGGTTCCACTTGACCCCTCACCTCTGACCACTAACCTCTAGACATCCTGAATTGTGACCTCATAACCCCTGACTTCTGGTCAGACACTAGGCCATGTCTTTGACTAGGATATCTTTGCAGTGACTGAATCTTTAGACCTTTTTACCAACGTGGAACCCAGCTCTCTGAGTGATCTCAGTGGCATTTTGTCTCATCAGCTCTTTGATCAACTCAGTGTTGTGAAGAGTGTTAGCACCACAGCTCTGTGTCCGGCGTTCAGCTTTGGTTTGACGTCTGTTAACATCTAGTGCCTACTAGTGCTACATCTCAGGTTTCATCAGATCTGTGGACAATAGAATTTATCAGCAGCACAACAGCTGACAGATTCTTATCAGTGAAAACTAGTCAAATGAATTCACACAGAGACGACAACACTGTCCATTATGGCTACAAACAATTGATTTCTCAATTAATCATTTAGTCCAGCGGTTCCCAAACTTTTCAAGTCATCCAGATAATTTCATTTTAAGACATTTAAAAACATTTATATACAATTTATATATATATATATATATATATATATATATATATTAAAATTTTTAATAAAATTAGATTTTTTTCACCAAAACTGTACTGTTTTGCAAATGATTTGTCAGCCCACTCGCAATACCTTCGCTGCCCACCAGTGGGCCCCAACCCACAGGTTGGGAACCACCAATTTCGTCTATAAAATGCCAGAAAACAATTATAAATCTTCCTATAGCTGAAGTAGAATCAAGTTGCTCGTTTTGTTCAATCAACCGTCCACAACCCAAAGATATTAATTTTTCTATCATAGAAAACACAGGAAGCATATTTTTGTCTAAAGCGATAACATAAACATAGACTTTTAAGAAATTATTAAAATTGCTGTTGATTTATTTTGTCGACCAACTAATCAATTAATCCACTAATTGTATCAGCTCTATTCTTCGTCTGATTTATGTCCATCGTGATGGATCTGAGTGGCTGCGCCGTAACAGCTAACATTTTACACCAGCTAGAGCTAGTGTTTCCAAAAATTTATGTAATGTAGGACAACAGATTTATTTTTATGTGTTTTCTCTGTATTCTGATCTGAAGTACGGAAAATATGATAAAATTTATCCGAAATTTTGAAAATTTCAAAAATTTCTCAGAAAATTCTGAAAATTTCTCAGAAAATTCTGAAAATTTCTCTGAAAATTTCGAAATTTCTGACTTTGCGTTAGAAATTCTCCTGAAGGTAGTTCACTGTAATCCATTAATTGATTGATCGATTGATCTAAAAATGTCAGAAAATGTCTAGGTCCAAGGTGACGTCTTCAAATGTTTTGTCCGATTAAAAGTATAAAACCTGAAATATATTTATTTTACAGATAGCAAACTAGCAAGCATTTACATTTCGGATCTCAACAGAAGCTGTAGCCGGTGAATTTTAGCCATTTTTGCTATCATAAATTGATTGTTTAATTCATTAAAAATAATTGGTGAATAATTTTCTGCCGATTTACTAATTGATTACTCTACTAAACGGTTCAGCTCTACCATCCACACACAGTTTTGTTAACATACGACAGACCAAGCGATCTGGACGCAGAGCTCTTCTGCCAGTTTCAGCAGGTGAAGACGCGTTGATCAAAGAGCTGATCTGACAAATACAGCACAGACATGATGAGACGGGTTCTTTTCTTTGTGCCATTCTGCTTCCCCAGACGAGATTAGCTGGACTTCTGCTAGCGGAGCTGGAGGATTAGCGAGCGTACTGGGAGTCTCTACCTTAACAACGGGAGATTAAAGCTGAGGATACGTCTCCGTTCCTTTTTCAGAAAGTTCTTGTGACTTAGCATTTTTTTTTTTCCAAATATCACTCATGAAGAATTTGTGTTAATTTTGATTTCATATCTTAATGCAGATCATTTAGAATTTATGAATAACAAGTAATAATAATGTGGTGGTGATGACTTACAGAGTTTATAATAGTTTGGAAAATGATTTTGAGTTCCTTATGATTTGACAATGAGTTGAATTTCAAGGTCGTTTCGGTGATGTTTTGGAATTCATGATGATTTGTCAATGAGTGTGACTTTGTGCTGATGTGCTGTGTGTTTCAGGGAGAGCTGCAGCAGAGCTCCAACTGTAAACCTCTCTGGTTTCTAACCTGCTTATTGAGGGCTTTACTGTACATGGTGCTATCTGTTTAAAGCCATCTGTACAGAAAATACTCCTTCTCCTTCCCCTCCTACACTTCCCTCACACTGACACCTGAAGCTCTTCGGTTAACCCCCTTAACTCTAGTGTGTAATTCTGAATTAAATCAATCACTTACGGCTGTACCTGCCGTGACCCTCTTGCAGTAAATGGTAACTCGTCAGAAACAGGCCATAAATGGAGTTTCCTCCCTGCCATATTGGGGATTTCTTCCCTGCCATATGTGGAGTTTCCTCCAGACCATATATAGAGTTTCCCAGAGGCCATAAGTGGAGTTGCCCAATTAGAGTTAACCATGCATTCATTTTAGAGCTGCAACTAACGATTAATCCAAAGATTTATTTTCTTGATTAATCGTTTGGTCGATAAAACATCAAAAAACCATCATAATAATTCTAGAGCAGAACATTAAATGTCTTGTTTAGTCAACCCAACAGCCCCACATTCTTCAAAATTAACCACCGCGCACTGAAATTATTTGATGGTTAATTAATTTCAGTTCATTTTGAAGATGTTGATGTTCATGTGACCAACTGGCACCTGATCACTAATACTGACTTTGCATGAGACTTCTGTTCTTCGCTCCCCAAATTATTCAGTTTACGATCATGTAAGACCAAGAAACTTTCACATTTGAGAACCTCAAACCATCTTATATTGAGTTTAACAAAATTTCTCCACACAAAAAGACGTGATGTCACGTTTCTGATGTGGGTAATAATTAAACACTGATCACACACAAAATTGTGGGACCAATGCTACATTTTGTCGTGAATATTGATAACATATTATCAGAAACTTAATGCGACCATTCCTCAAGACATATTTGCTTATGATCTCTCTTTCCTAGAGCCCATGGCGACCTCATTGAATTTCAGTCCAAAGCCCAAAAAAATTATATTAAAGAAACGGAAAAGCAGGAAATTCTGATGTTTGAGATCCTGAAACCATCAAATGTTTGCATGAAAAATGACAATCGATCAACTGATTATTAATATAGTTAATCGACGATCGGTTTATCGACTAATTGTTGCAGCTCTGAAGGGCACAGCTCTCAAAAACCCTCTTGTAGGTCAGACCAGAAGAGTGGGATCTGTGAGTGCAGTACTGAGGTAGGTCCAGAGCATGTTTAGCCTAGCTTAGCACAAAGACTGGAAGCTGGGGGAAACTGTTAGCTTAGCTCTATCAAAATTGAAAAAAATACACCTTCCAACAACAAAGTGGTCCGATTTACACGTTGTATCTTGTTAGCTAAGAAGCTAGTCACCAATCCAGAGACAGAAACAAGCTCAGACCTTGGACCATAAGGAAAACATTAACTGCTGCTAAAAACCACAATATGTCATTTTTTATTTTTACTGTCATTCTAAACCTGCACAAAAAACAAGATACATCAAATGAATGAGACCTCTCTCAAGTGGCTGGAAGGTGAATTTCTTTCACTTTTCTTCCTTAGAATTAACATAAGGGAGGAAAGTTGAACATGTACCATTAACTGTCGCTTTAAGTGATTTTCTTTTTACTGCTTGCCATCGCATCGTTACAGCCTCTCCTCTTGATTCCCTTGTAAAGCACAATCAACATTATAGTGCCTGTTTCCACTACAAACAAATCTACTGCGTGTATCTTCTTTTTTTCCAACTGAAGAACCTGAACACGTGCCAAGCTACAATCATTATTTCCCAAAGTTGTACAAGTTTACCACAAGGCCCTTTTTATGGGAAATGTATTACCAGAGGTATAGAATGTATAGTCTGTGTACAGCACATTACAGTAGACTATATAGTCTCTATAATATATATTATGTTAGAATAATGTAGCTATAGTGTAATATATAGAGTATAGTATTAAATAAAATTTATACAGTAATATTTTGTTAGACTGTAGTCTATGAAGTCTCTATCCAAATGTGATATTCAGATTTTGTAAACAGCTACACATCAGCTGTTAGCCTAATGCTAACTTCATGCTAACAATCTACTCTAAAGGAAGATGACCAGTTCAGTTTCAAAACATCAACACTGAGCTCGGAGAAGATTCTGAGATTAAGGAGGCGTGTCTTCAAAGATCAATTTAACCCCTTCACATATTCAAAAATCTACAATGGCCCCTCCCCTTTCTGCTGACACTCCCACCCCCTTGCATTTGTGACCAAACATGGTTCCAATGTCCCGTTTGCCCCTGTGGCCAACTGCGGTACTGTTGAGGACTCCTCAAACTCCAGCCATAGTCAATTATTACCTTTTGCATTGTGAATTTTTAAACAATGAAGGTTTTGCATTTCCCACTTTTTCACACGCAAAAGAAAACCAGGAGGACAAAAATCTTTTTTTTGTTAACGTGCTCGATGAAAGAATAGGTGACATCTTGTAGTCCAGTGGTCAGTCTGCGATCCGGCTACTGTCCGTAACCATAGTTAAATATGTAACTATGGTTCTATGAATTCTGGATGACCACTTGAGTCAGTCGTGATACGAGAATGAGTTACAACTCTGCACAGAGCTAAAAGAGAGGGAACACTGGACTGAGTTTCTGTGCTCGTTGCTCTGTGACTGCTGGATGTAGAGATAAGAAACTGTTTGCTAACAAGTTCATCCCATTAACTTCAGTATTACATTCACAGCTTGTTTCTACTGCCCCCAAGTGGCCAAAAGAGGTCTGATTACCCACAAACATCACGTATAATTTACCAACTCAAAAAAGTGAATTTATTATTAAGTCACAGCCCAGTTAACTCACAGGTTTGAGGCCTTCTACACTGGACTGTCCACATGAAAACCAGCAGGACAGTCCCTGTTGTGTAGCTGTTTACACTCACTGACACCACACTGAACAGATATATACTGTATATCTGTAGTATATATTATAATGGACAAGAGTCTACTGTACAGAGTCATCTACAGAACGAGCTGTCGCTTTTTCTGCTGCGTAACAGTGAAAATCAGGTTGGATGTAGATCAGTGATGACGAGGTCATGTGACCTCTTGACCTCTGACCTCAGGTCCCCGCTGAAAACCCCTAACCCGACATGAGGTCATTCACCCTATCGCAGGATTTCTCAGCCAATCACAAACACAACCAGCAAACCTGCTGCATAAAATCTCATCAGTAACCTGGTGATGAAGTGAAGTCAGTGGTGTCCCTCCGCTGGGAAAAAAGTAGTTCCTTCTCCATTTTTTCCCTAAAGTTCTGCTTCCTGTTTGTCACCAATCAAAGTGGCGTCAGCTGATGAAGCTGATATTGACAGATTTAATAGAAAACACAGCCCCTGTTTCTGGTTTAGACCAGTTTAAACCAGGTTTCAGATCCGTGAGTCGCCTCGACCATTCTTCAACTTCGGTCTAGTGATTTAGAAAAACTCACTACTGAATATTTTTCTGCCGTCTTCCCTCGTCCTGATCTATTTTCTCCCGTTCCAACTTGATTGTCCTGATCAATTTTACTCCCACTGACAAATCTGTGCCTCTTGTTTTCTATGTGATGTTGAAACATTTTGACAGATATTTGATCACACTGGCACATCCAGGCTGCCGTACCAGGCCTACTTCCATCTATACCACTGTAGAGTTATTTTTAATTTAATTCCATTTTATTTGTGTCGGCGGGGAGAAAAGTAAAATTCCTGTGTTTTATCTCATTGACAAAAACATTTCCTGGTTATAAAACTGTGGGTCTGGGATTTATTTTTATTTTATTTTAACAACTAAAACATGACAGATCTACATTGTTTAGGCCTTCATGTGAAAGTGGGTAAACTAAGTGGTCACACACACATGGACTGTCAACAGCTGATGATGACACTGTGAGCACAGACGCGGATTCATCCGCTCTGTTTGTGTTGACACCAGCCTCACATCTGCAGACAGATGTTGGCCGGTTGGCTCCACTTCCACAGAGATAAAATCCCCTCAACAAATACAACCTGAGCTCAGATTTAGTCTGCAGAGGCCTTTTCCACTCTGTCCCCCTGGTAGAGTCACACACACTGACTCTTGTTATTCACTTCACTGTTTATGAGACTGTCGTGACTCATGCATCCAACTGTTTGTTTACCTTTAACCTAAAATAACCTTTGTGTGGAGGCTATAATAACTTGATTTCCAAAAAGGCAGAGATTTTTTCAACAAGTTGCCACTGCACACATGCAACATTTAGCTCTCATGTTTCATAAGAAAAGACACAAATACAAATATAGATATCGGATCATTCAAACCAAAATTGATAAATCTATTTGTTATCCAGCCCTATTAACTTTGGAAAAACATGAGGCCTTTTTTTGAAGAATTCTTCTTAGGACTTTAGAGCTCCATCTTTTCCTCTTCTCCTGTGTTTTATTAAGAGTGTTGATCCTTAAGAAGATATATTTGTGGTTTTAAAAACCAAAAACCATCTCAATTTAGTTTTACAGCTCCTTTAGTAACAACAGTCAGTCAGTGAGCCAATCAGAGGAGAGGAGGTTCTGAACCTCTTCTCTTCTGATTGGCTCACTGATCTGATAAAAAAAAATATATATAGGAAATTTCAGGTAAAAACACTCAGAGAAACCAAATCCTGCAAGGTTTGGATGGTGGGTCCAGGTGGGCGGGGCTTGGTGACTGCTTTGTTGTGACATCACAAAGTTCCAGAAGTCCTGACGGCTGGTTTTAAGGCTCAGTTTCTGAATACAGGCTGTGTGCATTTCTCTGTGGACTGAGGCTTTGATACTTTCACAGTATTAATATAGAAGCTAGAGCTGATCTATAATCACACTACACATGGACAGAGACCTTTATATGAGACTGTATGGGACTTTTAAGTCCCTGATATATCTTTAATGTCCAAATGTCTTAGTTTAACTTAAGCTAAATGAAAGCTAGCTAACACAGCAGCTGAAAATAACGTTATTACAAATCCCAAGCAGCTTCTTCATGTAAAGTTAAATTCTCCCTTAACAAAAAAGAGAGAAATCAGTTATAGACCAAAATCCTCCAACATGGCGACCGGAGAGAACCAGGACAGTCGTGTAAAAACACTCAAACTTGCCGCCACAGTAGATCTGACCATGGTAACGCCTCAGCTTCCTGCTGATTGGCTGAGAATCCTGGCTTTCTAACCTGTGTGTGAAACCTTCCTCCTCCTGATATTCACATGGTTATAATGGTTAAATGGTTATCCTCCTCCTCCTCCTCCTCCTCCTCCTCCTCTCCGGCTTCCTCTTTTTACAGTATGTTTGTAGTTTCTTCTGGAGTGAGTGGTGTGTGTGTACTTGTAGTTTTTTTTCTTCCCTTTTCTAAAAAACTCAAAGAGCACACGATGACAACTGATGAGCTCTGCAACGCAACAGATTGTAATCTTTATAATAAACTGTCATTTATTACAAAGATATTGCTCGGCCTTCATGCGTGGTTCTTTTAAATTAAGAGTCAACAGGTTTATAACCTCTGACCTTGCTTGTCCAATAAAGTCTTGAAGTTGAGTTAATGACTAACGAGTTTCACTTCAATTTAGAAGATAAAAAACACCTTCACACACTTCAGTGACAGACATAGTGTAATATACTGTAAGTACAAGGATGGACATCCAGACCTCCAGGTTTACTCTAAATTTGTTATAAATTTACACCACTGAAGAAGAATATTGAATAAATCTAGTTTCAAGACGTGTTTTAGTTTATTTTAATTCTGTAAATAAACACAATAAAAACCTTGGGGAAGGTCGTATCATCGTATTGTCATCGAAGAATTGTTTTCATTATTGAGACATCTGACAGTTATTGTTTGTTAGTTTTATAATTAATAATTTTATAATTTATTTTACAAAATGTCAGGTTACAGTAAAAGCTTCATAAAGTTAACATGTTCAGATTCCTTTTTTGTGTGATCAGAAATAAAAAAATGTAATTATGAAATTAGCAAAGTTCAGTTTTAGAGATATGTAGATATGTATATATTACTAAAGCAACACTCTGTCTCTCTCTCTCTCTCTCTCTATCACACACACACACACACACACACACACACACACACACACACACAGACACAGACTCAGAGTGTGTGAAAGAGCAGCAGCTCATAAACTTCAACTTGACTGCAAAGTTAAACATGATGGTTTTTTGTGGACAATAAGTAAACCAGAGCTGAAACCTGATTGGCCCTTTGAACCCTTCAGTTCCTCCCCCTTTCTCTCCTATTGGTTGGCAGACTCAACCTGCAGCTGCTTTCTTATGAGCTGCAGGGTCACTGTCACTTCACAGACTGCAAACACCAGGACCAGGTACACTGCTCTGAAAGTACGTGTGTGTGTGTGTGTGTGTGTTTTATGTGAAGTCATTATATTTGAATGTGCGGAGTTGATTTTGGTTGATGTTGTTGTAACAGTAAGGGTTGGTGTCGTGGTTACAGTCTTCAGGGAGTCTGTCCAACTTTGGGTGTGTTTGAATCTCAAATCTGTTGTACAGTTAGTTTCTGTTATTGTTTGTTCTGTTTTTGAAGTGTTTATCTTGAACCTGGTTTCAGGTTTTAACGTGAGACATTGCAGGTTTTCGAGTTAAAACAAAAAAGTTTCTTGTAACCAAAGCAAAGAAAAACAGCAACAACAGGAGAAAATGAAACTAAACTGTGCAAGAAACCAAAAGCCAGATTTTGGTTATGGCACAGAATCAGATAAAATTGGCAGTTACTTTCATGACTCATTGATTTATTTTTTTGGCCAGTGATGTCATTTGGAAAATTATCTGAACCAGTTTTGAGTCATGAATCTGTTCATTTTTCAAAGTGATTGTATAAAGTTTTCTCAAACCAGACAGTAACTGGACAAAAACAGATGCTCGGTTTCTGTTGAGTGTGTTAGCATGCTAACATTTCCTCATTATCACTAAACACAAAACACAGCAGAGGATGATTGGAAGGTTGAAAATCATTCTCTCAAGACAACAAACTTAATGACGATTGTCCCGAGGCCTGCTGATCTGTCAGTCTGGATCAATGTGGTGTACACAAAGAGGGAAGAAAAAGAAGAAAAAGAAAGGCGATTATCTCTCAATTGATCAATTAATCAATTTATTGACTAATTGTTGCAGCTTTGATCGGATTCTTTTTTTTTTCAGGCCAACATGCTGTCGATTCCAGATCTGATCAAGAAGAAGAGAGATGGAGGAGTGCTGACTGATGAGCAGGTCACAACCTTCATCCGGGCTGTTACAGACAAAACCATCCAGGATTGTCAGACAGGTACGAACAACAGGTCCAACAGGTCCAACAGGTACAACAGGTCCAACAGGTCCAACAGGTCCAACAGGTACAACAGGTCCAACAGGTACAACAGGTCCAACAGGTCCAACAGGTACAACAGGTCCAACAGGTCCAACAGGTCCAACAGGTACAACAGGTCCAACAGGTACAACCTCTCTTATGTCTCTTTCTGTTAAGGGGCGATGCTGATGGCTATCTGGCAGAAGGGGATGGTTGTCAAGGAGACCGAGACCCTGACCAGAGAGATGATGAAATCGGGGGAAGTGATGTCATGGCCAAAGGAGTGGGCGGGGCTGATGGTTGACAAACACTCGACAGGTGGAGTGGGAGATAAAGTTAGCCTGGTGTTAGCACCTGCGCTAGCCGCCTGTGGCTGTAAGGTAGACCTGTTTAAACCATATAATTTATCAAATATTATCTTGCCTAGAATCAGATGAGGAGATCAATAAATAATCTGTTTTCTGTCCTGATTTGTCCTAATTTTAACCGAATTTCCAGTGCCACCGCCGCTGAATGCTGATATTCTCTGAAGCTGAAGTTCCTCTAATGACCACTAGATGGTGCTCAAAGAAAAATGTTGAAGTGAATAGTAATTACTCTGAATACATAAAATGTTAAAATTAAAACAGCACTCTTATGACGTCGTAACCTCAGGTGTGTCTTTGGCAGGTACCAATGATCAGTGGGCGGGGCTTGGCTCATACTGGTGGAACTCTGGATAAACTGGAGTCAATACCAGGATTCACCATTCAGCAATCAACAGAGCAGGTGCAACAAAACATTAATTTGCAGCCGGCCTACCCGACCTTGATTGCCATGGTTACAATGATAAACACGTGGACTGTACCGAGAGCAGCGTACTTACCTTTGTCACCATGGTTACTACAATAATGGTCATAGCTTGGTTAGGTTTAGGAAAAGACTGTGACTTGTATACAAACACTTTGTGCTGGTTATCATTGGAAATGTTTTGATACTAAGCCAATATCCTGTCACAGTTTTCAATAACGTAAATGTTTCTCTACAAACACCTTTTTGTTTCCCATTTAACAAACGAAAAACCAACATTCTCAACTATTAAAATACTAAACTCTGGAACTAGCTGACCAACTAATAAGTAAAGAAAAACAGCAACCTTTTGCTACTTGGACAGTTTACTCGAGACTTGATTTTCAGTTTCAGTTGTCACCAAAAAAAGTACTGTGGTGTGATACTGTGTGAATTTACATACCACAGTAACTGACGGTATTTAAATGCACTGGCTGCAGATTCAGAAGATTCTGGGCTCTGTGGGCTGTTGCATTGTGGGACAGACGGAGAGGTTGGTTCCTGCAGATCGAGTCCTGTACGCCCTGCGGGACGCCACCAGCACCGTGGACAGCTTACCCCTCATTACCGGTACTGGACTTGAACCTTACACTATTAACAGCAGTTCTACCTGTTGAATATGAATCTAAATCTGTGGTTGATTTATTTTTCAGGTTCTATTATCTCAAAGAAAGGTGCTGAGTCTCTGAATGCTCTGGTGCTGGATGTGAAGTTTGGTCGAGCAGCCCTGTATAAAGATCTGGACAGTGCTAAAGAACTGGCACAGTCAATGGTACATACATTAATATTAAAAAGCACCAGCTATTTAATGAATAAATAAATACAGCTATGAATCCTGAAATAAATAATTGAGGTAATAAATGTAGAAATATATATGAATGTAAATATAAATATATAAGGGAGTCGATAAATAAATAGTATTACAAATTAATGAGTAAATAAATAAATTACTAGCTTTTTATTTTAAAATAACCTTTTTATTTATTACAGGGGACTTTTATTTTATAATGCCACATTTATTTATTTATGGAGACTTTTATTTCCTAATGCTACATTTATATCCCAGCTCTTTTTATTTCCATCTGTTATATTCAAATGAGAGGCGTGGTTATCACACAGTTTCAGACCAAAGCAACAGCACCAGAACAGATAATAATAAATAAATAATAATGAATAAAAATGTAATTTTTTAAATAATAAGCAATTTATTTATTTATTCATTCATTCATTTATATAGCTATTTATATTTTTATTGACTCACTTATATACTTAAATTTACATTTATTCATATAATTCTACATGTATTTCCTAATTTATTTATTTCAGTATTTATTACATAGCTGTATTTATTTATGAACTTATTTATTTAATATTGATTTAGATGGTGTTCCATAGGCTGTACATTGTACCTTTACCTGTTTGTGCCAGACTCCAGCTATAGGTTGAGTGTACAGGATATCAAAACATTTGTCTAGTGCTCCTAATCACCAAGTAAATCATTGGTAAATATTTCTTTAAGTTTAACAATTTTAGGTTCATATAAAAACAAAAACATGTATTAATTATGATTTTAGGTGAACGTAGGAAACGGCCTGGGCATGCGTACAGGTGCAGTCCTCAGCTGCATGGATGCTACGATTGGTCGATGTGTTGGCAACAGTCTGGAGGTGATTGAATCTCTGGAGACGCTGAAGGGAAAGGGACCTGAAGACCTGATGGAGCTGGTTATTACTCTGGGTACTGCACATTACTCTGAACCCAATGCAAACAGGAGCTGCTAACAGCTAATTTAGTAAACTTTGCCAAATTATTTTTTAAAGTAATTTTTTTAAATTGTCAAAACACTTGTCTGAAAGCTGTTATTGCAACGTCCATGCATAGCACAACCTCTAAAAACAATCTATCACTTTAAGGTTTTCATCATAATGTAACGCACCACGCTGCCTGTGTTTCTGTAGGCAGTATGCTGCTGATGATGACTGACTTGGTGCCAAACCTATCAGAAGGCAGAAAGAAGATTTCTGATGCTGTGACTGGTGGAGCAGCTCTGTCCAAGTTCCAGGCCATGATGGAGGCTCAGGGTGTCACCAAGGACGTGGCTCAGTCGCTGTGCTCCCCCCACACAGATTATCACCGTGTCCTGAGAAAAGCTGCCCATCAGACCGAGCTGATCACTCCTGCAGATGGTAAAAAAAAAATTTGGCCTGTTGTTGTTTATTAAAATCAGCCTTGCAGAGGCTTGGACATAATAATCCATCACAATCAACACATACAAACTAGACTTTACATTTATTGCAGAGGAACTTTTAATCACAGCACAGCACAGTATTCACTAATATTAGCATTAACCTTCACTCCAATGCCACAGATTAAATATCTGGGTGTGTTTTGGGAAAATCTTGGATATTTAATATTAGTATTTATGTATATTACTATATTATCATTTATAAATATATATGTATATATATATACATATATATTTATATTATTTCTACAATATTAAAATTTAACATATTTATATTTATCTTTATTGCAGAGGTTTCAACAATAGCATTAGCAATAATGCTACTGTTATTAACAATTATATATTTATTTACATATACAATATATTTATTTACTTGTACTTACATAATTACATAGTTACTCAATTAAGTATTTATATCTGCACATTTCTCTCTATATTTATTTTTTACTTACTACACACATATATTTAGTAATATACATTTCTTAAATACTTATATATTACATATGATTTACATACAAATATATATTATTATAATATAATATCTTACAATATCTATATATTTTTATTTTCTTATATATTTACACTTACATTTTTAGTTACTAAAGCACTTTTATATTTACCAACTTATATGCTTATTTACATACTATATGTGTGTGAGTGTGTGTGTGTGTGTGTGTGTGTGTGTGTGTGTGTGTGTGTGTGTGTGTGTGTGTGTATATACACATATATATTTACTAGCTTGCATACTTATACTTTTACTTATTTGTTCTTACTATTCGATACTTATTGTATTTACTAACGTGTATTTTACTTATGGTCATAAATTTACTTACTTAACATTTTTACTACCATATGCACTTAAATATTAACTAACATACGTATATTTTTACATTATGCAGTCATATATTTACTTACTTACAATTTCAAAAATTTTAACTTAATCTTGACATTTTCTGACCTGACTAAACTTGATTCTTCAGATCATTAACATTAATTAATGTTGATGTGACTGATGGATAATAGACCGCTGATTATTTATGAATGGAAGTTTTCCCTCTCTCTCGGCAGGTGTGGTCGTAGACGTGGACGGTTTGGTTTTAGCTGAAATTCTTCACAAGCTGGGGGCGGGACGATCAATGGTCGGAGAACCTGTCAATCACAGTGTGGGGGCGGAGCTGCTGGTGTCGCTAGGTCAGAAAGTCGAGAAAGGTGAGAGGTCACAGATGATGATGATGACAATGATAGACTACGACGACGATGATGATGAGAATCCTGACCATGTTTGATGTTTGTATTTTCAGGCGTCCCCTGGATGCGGCTTCATTATGAGTATCCAGCTCCGACTCCAGACCAGATACAGCAACTGCAGAACGCTCTGAGTCTGGGAACAGACAAAAACAAACCAACACAACAAAAACAAACTCTGGTGAAAGAAGTTCTGCTGCCACAAAACAAATAAATGTATTACTACAAAATTACTAATAAACAAAACAAGAAATGGAGGCACCAGGAAGCAACATTTATATCCTTTATCCTTCCTATGAGGTGGATTTTCAACAAAATGGCAACACAAAAGTTGTTCTTATTAAAATGCAAAATAACAAGTGTCTCAGCACATTTTAAAAGTTTGTAATTCACATCACAAATGAATAGATTGTAACATAAAAACAAAATATAAAAAAGAAGTATTCAGATATATATAGTAATACTGCAATGTAGAAAAACTGTTAAGTCCTGCAAATGTTAAGTCCAAAATTTTATGCAAATAAAAGTACAAAAGTATTCTAAATATTAATATAAATTTTAAATATACTGAGCGTAAAAGAAGTGATTACGCATGAGTGGCTTATTTCAGAATAATTATCTTCATGTGTTATAATTATTGATACATTACATGTTGCAGCTGGTAAGGACAGAACTTTATAAACAGCTGTTAGGTTTAACCAATAATAAGGCATCATAATGAATACATTTTTTATATGAGTTATTATTGATCTGACATAAATCTGACATTGAAACATTGATCTTAACATAAAAAAAACAACAGCTGTAAAACAAATGTAGTGCAGTAAAAATTTGACTCTAAAATGTGGATTTCATAGAGAGATTTTTTAAAAGTCCAAAGGTTTATTATTTCCATTTCTACAGTTTCCTTTACTTCTGACATCCAGTTTCTACATGAACTGAAGCAGGTTATTTGTTTCATCTCTGCAGTTAAATGTCCTGTAAAGATATTTGTTAGACATGTGACCTCAAATGCATATATGACTAAAATATCGCATTTGGTTTAATTTGAACTATTTTCTTATTAAAAATTTTTTATCAATTGCCAGATTGTTTTGAATGAATGATTCATGTTCTTTTCTCCTGTTCTCTATCTTTGATTCAATTGATATTGTATATTAACCATGTTTTCAATAAAGAATTAGTATTCTCAACTGTTTAGAATTTAGTGTTTTATGTATATTTTCATCATCTATTGACTGTCGGATGTTTTGAATAAAGGGCGTAAGTTTGCATATGGATGGTAGAGACATGTCCCTACCAATATTTAAGTGAAATCATTTGCACTATGTTTGCAGTCATATTAGATCATTCCAATGTGCCCTGCAAGAGGCTGCGTCTCCAAGACAACCGATTTAGGCAAACTAGCGTTTGATTGCCTGTAAGGGCTGGGGTTGTCTGAAGGCTCACATCATGGGAGAATATCACAGTGATACCTGCTATACTATGATTTTTCTATGCCTAACTGTAGTATGACATTTTTATAACTATACTATGTCGTTTATATACCTTACTATACTATGACTTTTTTATGACCTTTTATGCCTTAGTATACTATGATGTTTTTTTCACTTTTTATTATTATTATATTGTGATGTTTTTATGTGTTGTTGCTGTTTACACCTTACTTTACTATGATGCTTTTATGCCTTATTATACTATGTCATTGTTATGACTGTTTTTATGAGTTTTTATGCCTTTTTAAGGTTTTTCACTTTACCCTTTAAATGACTCTGAAAATTGTAACATGTGACACTCATTTAAATCTTCTTTTAAATGTCTACCGATTTAATGATTTATTATTTTATTGATTAATTTATCTAATTTTGCAGCAATGTTTTTAATGTTTTTCATTTAGGATCAATGGTTTCAACGTTGTTTTATGTTCATTTTATGTCATATCTTTGTTGTAAAGCACCTTGTTCTGCATTTCTTGTGTGAAAATTGCTACACAAATAAAGTTTATTATTATTATGCCTTGCTATATACCGTGTCGTTTTTGTGACTATTTACACCTAACTTTAATATGACATTTTTATGCCTTACTGTAAAATGATGTTTTTATTACTTTTTATGACATTCATACCTTACTATACTATGAGGTTTTTGTGACTTTTTACACCATATTTTATTATGATGCTTTTATGCATTACTATATTATGTTTTTTTAATAGCTTTGTATGCCTTACAATACTATGGCATTTTTATGACTTTTTATGCCTTACTATACTATGTCATTTTTTTGAGTTTTTATACCATACTATACTATGAAGTTTTTTTGCCTGATTATACTATGTCATTTTTATGACTTTTTATGACTAACAATATTATGTCATTTTTTTTACTTTTCATGCCATACTATTATACTATGATGTTTTTATGCCTTACTATACTATGTCGTTTTTATGACTTTTTATGACTAAATATATTATGTTGGTTTTTTTTTTCTTTTTATGCCTAACCATACTATGTCCTTTTTTGTAATTTTTATGCTATACTATACTATCGCATTTTTATACTTTACTATCCTATAGCGTTTTTATGCCTGATTATACTATGTCGTTTTTATGACTTTTTATCCCTTACTATACTACGACGTTTTATTGAGTTTTTACAACATACTATACTATGACGTTTTTTTGAGGTTTTACAACATACTATACTATGGAGTTTTTTTTAGTTTTCATGCCTTACTATACTATGACATTTTTATGAGTTCTTATGCCTTACTATACTATGACCTTTTTTTGAGTTTTTACACCATACTATACTATGACTTTTTTATGACTTTTTATGCCTTACTATACTATGTCGTTTTTATGCCTTACTATACTATGACGTTTTTTTGAGGTTTTACAACATACTATACTATGACGTTTTTTTGAGGTTTTACAACATACTATACTATGACGTTTTTTTGAGGTTTTACAACATACTATACTATGACGTTTTTTTGAGGTTTTACAACATACTATACTATGACGTTTTTTTGAGGTTTTACAACATACTATACTATGACGTTTTTTTGAGGTTTTACAACATACTATACTATGACGTTTTTTTGAGGTTTTACAACATACTATACTATGACGTTTTTTTGAGGTTTTACAACATACTATACTATGACGTTTTTTTGAGTTTTTACACCATACTACAGTATACTATGACTTTTTTTGAGTTTTTACACCATACTATACTATGACTTTTTTATGACTTTTTATGCCTTACTATACTATGTCGTTTTTATGCCTTACTATACTATGACTTTTTTTGAGTTTTTACACCATACTATACTATCACGTTTTTTTGAGATTTTACACCATACTATACTATGGAGTTTTTTTTAGTTTTCATGCCTTACTATACTATGACATTTTTTTGAGTTTTTACACCATACTATACTATGACTTTTTTTGAGTTTTTACAGCCTTACTATACTATGTCGTTTTTTTGCGTTTTTATACTATGACTTTTTTG